CCCACGCATGCCGTCTACGTTCACAAAACATCAATTTAAAAATTAAAGCGTTTTTCATTTTTCTATCCGCACCTTGATCCAGCTAACCTTAATAATGAAACAAGATTGGTAGTAAAGAAAATGACCAATATAATTGCAGCAAAAAATTATTACTGGATGCTGCAAGGGAGAAGATGTGTTTCTGCCAGGAGTCCAATTTATTTCCACAGACCTTTGAATTTAATTTAAAAGTCTTCAGTATTCTATGATGCTTTGTTATGACATGTGATTTTACATAAGTCGGTTGCTCACGAGTGGAATGTTCAAATAGTATTTATGCTTATAATAAGGAGGCCATAAATTAAATAAGAAAAATAGTCTATGTCTCCGTTAATTTTATGTGTTTACTGTGAATGACGTCGGATGATCTGCATTATAAAATATACTTTTGCAAAAAATGGTGTCGACAGATGGCACCACCTGGATTAACGGGTATTAGCTTTATCATAAGAACACATGTGTATATCATTTGTTATTTCCGCTATATTATTTATTCTTGGCCTTGAAGATTCTGCTCTTCAGTCCTTTCAACCTAAATTAATAATTTTTACATTACAAACCGGTTTGTACCGCGGTTAACCGTTTTCGCATTTCAACACTATTTTTGTATTGGTCAAAGCAAATAGTCTATCAGGCATCGCGAAGCAAGCTGGGCATTTGTTACTTTACAATAAAGTTTGAATCTTTTAACTTGTGCCTGGAATTGCTACGCCCCTTTCTAGAATATTCTTCGATTAAATAAAGAGGTGTGGAACAAATGCTGTTAACGAAGAGATATTCTGCCGAAATCCACATATACATATATCTGCGTTTTGTTAACTTTTGTCCTAAACTGCCACCCACCCCCGTTTCTGAGGTTTCTCTGCCTTAAACAAAAACCCTAATAATTCTGAGGATACATACTATTCACTTATCAACTGCGGTTTCTACTGAGATACGTCTTTTATACCTCTGAATCCCTGTATTTTTTTAATTTTTGACAGTAGGAGTAGTAAGCTATTGAAATTCGGAACCCGGCTAAACCCCAAACTACTCCCACGGTTGCAATCACACAACTGCGGTCAACTGGGGTTTTATATAAAGAAATAAGATATAGAAATATTATTAGAATAATAAAACTTGAAAAAAACACAAACTATGTAAATTAAAAGCTTTAAAAATTAAAGAAACTGGATACAAAAATTTCTAATTAAATACACGCGGCACACGAGCGGCGATCGCAATGGCGCTCACCACATGCGAGGTTTAAATTTAAAAGGCTTTTTTAGTTAAATATCAGGCGCTTTCGGTTTTATACTTTTTTTTTTTACTGTACACAAATAAAGTAACTCAAACGTGTAAATTGCAATTTCATGATCAAAAATTAAATTAAAACTTTATGGCCTTTTTATTTATTATGCGCATTTTTATTTTTTGCCCCTCACATTTGCAATCATCAGACAGAAGTGTGAACATCGATTTTAGGAAAAAAATCGCATTATGCCTAAATATGTACTTTTGTGCCGATCGGATGGCTGAAGGCCTCAGCAAATGCTGTTAAACGCAATTACGCAAGCACTCATGTGTGATGCACGGTGTCTGTGTAAACACACACATTCGAGTAAGTATTTTGGTTTTTTTTTTTGAATCTACAGACACTTTCATGCATACGCAGCCTAGTATTTATGTATACAATTGTGTGTGTGAATATCAGCGTAAGCGAGTTTGCACCCAGCAAGAAACTCGATTACCACGGGAATGGATGTGCAATCAAAAGAATCATTGTGTATCGCTCACATTTTCTCTTCTAGAACGTATCACTTACTTGCCAACTCTATTGCCGAAAAGCGAGTAGAGAATAGAACGCTGGAAGAGATTTCGAATTCTTCTTTGCATTCCGTTAATGGGAAAAATAAGCAAATTACAATTTATACACTGCACAACAGTGGGTTATATAAGAAAATGTCACGAATTGCTTTTTTGTGTCATTTCCTTCTCTCGCGAAAGTATTCTTCTGGCAAATAATTCCATCAGTGGAGTTCCAGAGACAAGTAGAATAAGAAGTAAATCAAGTATTTTAATGAATGAATTTTAGCCTTCAGATGTTTATTTAGGCGAAAAAGTACCTGAATTACTATTTTTTTATTGTGACTTGAAAAAATCATAATAGTTATTTTTTTTTTAAACTTTGGGAAGTTTTAAAATATAATGTTCATATTAGAGACAATGGACGCTGGCATCAAATACAACATATCTGTGCAGTTTCAAGAGTGTGCCACCAAATTAAAAAAAAATGGCGGCATGCAGAATATCTGTCGTGGCTATTTCGTAAGTTTTGAGATTTTAAGATTTTTTAAATTTAATAATTTATGATACTTTAAGGTGTTAAGATTAAATGGTGAAAATGTTCTTCTTGCCAAAACGAATGAATCGAGTGAAATTAAACTAGTGTGCCACCAATGAAATAAATTACATTAAAAAATAGGTGACTATGATTTGAGAAACTAAAATTCCATGTTTACAATTTTTATTGGCACGCTCGAAATTCATTCAAAAATTGTTATATACATGAATAAAGTAAAATATATGTGCATAAGGAATACTGTGTTAAAATCTTCCAGGCCAATATTTCAGTAGTTTTAAATTATTTGAATTTTAAGTTAAGGCGTGCGAGTAAACATGGTAGCTGACTGTGTATGCTGCTACGGGGCGTATACTTTATATACGCAACTACTGGTATATGAGCACGAGTTATTGTTTACTTTTTTTAGTATATCTTTTTAAAGTTTCCATTTAAATACAATTTTGCGGTGGAATCTTGTTCTTTACGTAAAACGGAAGATAATGCATAATGTCTAAGAAACTGTGCCACCATTTTTGACAAAACACACGTTTTTCTCGAAAAATGTAACAACTCGTGAGGTTTGCTCTTATGCACTCGTGTTCTGCCATCCTCCACTACGAACATTCAGAAGCGATTCCCGATTATTTACTGGGCAATAGTATCAGCGGGTATTGAGTTTTCCGATACAATTAAGGCGCATTTAAGCGCTGAGCAGTAGCTGCCTTGTGTTTGCCAATAGAATTTTCACTCCCTTGCCACCAAAAAACTTGCTCGAAATCGATATGAGCAGAACATATTTGATTGGTATAGCTCGGCAAGAAAAGTTGCTCTTACGGCATTCTGTGAGCAGAGCTACAGCACAAAGCAGTGGAGGTAGCATTTTCCAGGTGATAATCTGATTATTGCCTTGCATCATTTTCATTTTCGCATTTCAACGCAGGTTTTCGCCGAGCACAGCTCCGCACAGTACAGCTTCGTATGAAGAGTCCGGCAGCTTACCTTTAGCATGCATGGCTGATGCATACATATACATATGTAAGTAAATATGGACGTATGTATGCAAGCATATATGTATGCACATTAGTGTGCGCCTAATTTGTATGGAGCTGCAAAGCTAGACTCTCCCTATTTATTCTGCGAAAAATTTTCAAAATCGGATAAAGGAAAGACGTGCCTCAGAATCCCCAAAAGTTGCGAAAAATCATGAAATTTTGTACTAAATGGAAAGGTTGGCTTTTAAATCGGGAAAAGCCGCCTTCTTTTACAGCTACTAAATTTATTGTTGCGTGTCCATTATAAATATGGCTAAAACATTTTCATATCTTCTGCAGTTTTTAAGCTAAAGAGGGTTTTCTTGTCTGCATTTCTCTCAGGAAATCTCAGGTCCATATTTATATTCGGTAGCCAAAAGCACACTAACTACCAGTAAATTATATTGAATTTCCCACTGACTCATAGGCAATTATTACCACTCTGTGAAAGAAAGCAAATTTTCTGGCGCCTTGTGCTCTCAAACGACGAACTTATCTAGAGGTCTTGCTTTCAGAGTTGACAAATAAGGTCCACACTAATGTAAGTATGTACATAAGTATTCACTACCATGTCGACATTGTATGGGCGAGCATGTAATTGTGGCGCCTGAAGTGAATCACTAGTACGCCACTTCGGTGGTCGACTGTATCTTCTTACAAGCATCGATATACTCTACCTATGCGTACACTATTCCTGGAAAGAAATCTGGCAAGCCGTATACGCTCGGCGAAGCGCTAGCAATTTCATCAGCCGCAACAGTGTAGTCATTTGCCCACTGCTACGCTAGCTGTCGATCCATACTTTAGCGATGTTAAGCGCCTACAGCAACAGCGCATTACAGGCGTGAACTGACGCCTAGCTTCTCATGCCAGTTACGAACTGCCAGGAGGGTGTGTGTACATACATACATATGAAGCAAGTACGGTTTTCAATTAAATTACGTATACGCCCTGTTGGTCGGCCGTTTGGCTGGCAGGACACGGCCGCTCAGCTCCCGGTCGGCTGGCCGGTTTCAACAGTGTCGCAACACTGAGCGGTGTCGGCCATATAACTTTGTTATCGTGCAATTAATTTGGCGATTTTTAATTTTCTACAGTTGTTGTAGTAGCGCGTAATTTTTATGTTGAACACGACAGGACGGCCGCCAACAGTGTAAACAAGCCGAGCAACCGAAATTATTGTTGTTCATCCGCACATGCATATGTATACATATGTACATACTTATACTCGTACATAAATGCTAACGCTGCCACTTTTAATCATGTGCGAAAATAGCTTTACTGTTGTGAGGCTGCCAACTGCATTGTATAGCAAGTAATACTATGTTCATGACATTAATGCAATTTCATTTTGATGCACGTAAAAATTTTACGCATTTTTAACAAACTTATATATACTTAAATTACATACATACATATATATTGGGCGCACATTGGGCGCGAGTAAATTTTTATGCACTATAGGCTATTGTGACTGTCCATTTTTGTGAGGGAAATGCATATTTAATTTGAGTAGTTTCTTCATTAAATGCTCGCTCATTTAAAGTTTCATTATTTGCAATTCTTCATCGTGGCAAGTAATTTCTTTGCTTTTCTCTTTTACTTACCATTTTGCATAGCAACACTCTTATCCTCCACTCGGCTTACATAGCAGCACAGTTCATCTTGCCGTTCGGCGTTCTCGATCAGTTCCGCTTCGACGGAGAAGCCCCACATTTGCTCGAGCGTAGTTCGATGTAATTCCACTTGATAGAGTATCTTCATGCAAACCTCAACGAATTCATGATTATGCAACTGTCATGAAAAGAAATGAGTAGAAGAAGAGCGAGATAAGTACAAATTAGACTTTTCAATTAAATGGTTATTTTAATATGTAAATGCTACATTAAAGTGACATATATAATTAAATGTAAGGGCAATTGAGTTTCGTACGTGTATACATACATACATACAAATTTTCTGCATGCACTTTTTATGACATGTAGTAGAGATGGTAGAATAAATAATTATTTTGGCAGTGTCAGAATTGTAAAACACCCCCAAAATCTTAAGTTATGGTAAAAAAAACTGAAAATCTGGATGTTGGGTTAAAACACTGACCATAAATTTGATAGTTTTCAATGAACTCTCATCCTTACTAATTACTAATATAGATATTTCATTTTTATTTTTTTAGATATAAAAGCGAAAGTGAGTTTTTTGTTTGTTACGCTTTCAAACTTTAAACACTAAACCGATGATAATGAAATTTTACGCACTGGTGTCATTTAGCCCAACTTAAAATATTGAATAGCTTTTATCTCGATTAGATAAGGGGCGTGGCACCTAAAATACAAACTTAATTTTGCATACTTTATACTTCTGGAAGTATTAGAACTTGGTATGGAGATATGGCGCTATTGCAGAAGGCGGCCTAGCACCTCGCATATAAACTGAATGTAAAAAAATAAATTTAGTTTGAATTACGTGTTGACGTTGAAATATGTGTGTCAGATGAAAGAGGTTTAGGAAGGTTGTAGTTTGAAAATATTTAGAAGAGGGTTGCCACCTGCTTGAAAAGTGAAATTTAATTAAATAATGCTCAAGCTATAAAGTTATGTGAGGTATAAAGACGAAGGAGTGTTGTGAGTGTTTTTGTTTTTGAATATTTAAAATATTTTTTGGGGTGGGAAAATATTAAATTCAATTCAAATTATTTATCAAGTTTAATGAACTGTGACAATATGGTCGTCACTCGAAATGGTTTTGAAAAGGCCTTATTTCTTTATGTTATTTAGGATGGATGCCCACTGTTAAAAAATCAACTTCAACTTGAGTTAAGGAAATCAGGCAGTTGAAATATATATATGGCAAGATCGGTGCCAGAAAAGAGAGGTTTAAGGGGGCTATAGTTTGAAAATATTTTGAAAGGAGTGGCACCTGTTTGGAAAGTGAAATTTTATTAAATTTTACACAAGTTAAATGATACATAATTATCATAGTAATATGAATTCGCCTTGTTTAAAACAAACACATCATTTTGACATTCAGCAGTACCGCGGCGAAGATCTTAATTCGCCAGTAACACCACCTTGTATAAATTTTCCTTAATACAATTGGTTTTTAAACTTTTTGGGCTGCATATATGACAAAACTAAATTTACATATATACAAACCTTCTAAGTTAGGTTTAGAATTTAAACAGTTCGGTTTAAATTTTTAACCCAAACATTTTTTATTTCGTTTACTTCACGTTACACTGCACGAAAGCTTTTTCATAATTAAGAATAAACCCCTGAATGACCCCTTTTTTGCGACTTTCTGAAAATTCTCAACGGCAACGGAAAAAGCTTTCGTGCAGTGTAACGTGAAGTAAACGAAATAAAAAATGTTTGGGTTAAAAATTTAAACCGAACTGTTTAAATTCTAAACCTAACTTAGAAGGTTTGTATATATGTAAATTTAGTTTGGTCATATATGCAGCCCAAAAAGTTTAAAATTACATAGAACCGAAATTTTTAACCGTGTACCTTAAAAAATTCTGAATCTAAAAATTGATGGATACATTGGGCAAATCGACTGAAATGACATTAGTGTTGCCAATTCTAAGGTCCTTTTAATGACCCTCGAACGATGATGTAAGTATGTAGTTGTGAAACAAGTATACATACATACATAGATACATACATATGTGCTATCTTTTACACAGATGTTGTAAAATTTGCTTTAAAAATTAAAATTAAATACCATTTTGTGTTCTTAATTGTGAGATTATTTAATTTCGCAGAACATTTTATTCGCCTAGCATAAATCGTTTTAATGGAAAAGACAATTTTTGAGTGGTGTTATTTCTTAGAGCTGAGTGTAGTTTATGTATATACCTATGGATTGGAAAGCGAAGGCAAAGCGCGTGCAAAATTTGTTATATGGATATAACGGTTTAGTAGAATTAGGGAGATTAGTGGCTCATAAATCATTTGCCATATTCTCATTAAATACTAACTAAAATGCAGTTTGTAAACTCAACTTACGTTCATGATATGTATGTATGTGTGTCTGTAAGTATGCAGGTGAACAGGCAGATTTTAGTAATTCGGAGCCATTAGTTGCTATAAGTCATATAATTTCAGAATTTGGCTATGACTTGTTTCGAGGTAATTGTAACAGAGATTTGCGATGTTCCGTTATTCCTATATACGCACATATGCATTAAATTACATACATGCATTTACAAATAAAATTGACAAATGAATATTCTGAGAGTATCAGCTTATACTATTTACATTTATATATGTAAGTATGTATTTATATATTCCCACAATATGTGATAAGTAAAGAATACCTTATGAAATATTGCAAACATTAGCATTATGTGATAAAAGCGAGAAGATATAAACCAAGTGTCATTGAACTGCCCTTGGCTATGAAACATATGCAAATAGGAGTATGTGTGAAAATCTGAATTTAAGCGAGTGTAATGGTGGCAAATTCTGATGTTTGCATTGTTTATGTACTTAAATATTTTTTCATATTTCTTTGTCTTATCGAATAAATTATATCCCTTCCATTTGCTATCACTGGTAGTAGTGTTAACTTTAACAAACAAGTACGTACCCACTGGGAAAATAGGTAAGCACCTTACGAGTTAAGCCATGTTTTC